AACGGAATTTACTGAACTAATTCACACCATTTTTATGCATGCTTGAATATTTAGAATCAATATCAATTTCATTAACCTTGATTTTGGATTTTATAGAATTGATTTGATAGTTACTTGCAATTTAAGTATGTATAAATATATCTTACGTACGTTGAATATTATGAAATGAATCTCTTATGATTTAAAACTCGACTATACGTTATAATATTTATAATATATAAACGTATTTGGTAAAATTATTAAAAGTGAACCTTGCGTAATGTGTTCAAGCTGTACTTAACCTAATCATTAATTTTATTAAAATAATTATTAACAAACTAAACGTTTGCTTTCACACTATTCAGTATTATCTTTAATTTGCTTTAAGTACCATTATAATTGAAAAACATTTAGAGTACCATCTGTGTCATTTTTTTCGATATAATATGGAATACCATATGGTGCATCCAGTACAGATGTAATACTACTCGAAAAAATAACTTAAGTATAAAAAATAACGAAATTGAAAAAAATATTATCCTTACTCGACTTAGAATCTATTGAATTGTAGTGAAACTGAAATATTATTATTTACTTGGTTTATAATATCTTGTATTATTCGTTATTTTTTACACACATTCGTGAAACAGCGTTTGGCAAATTGAAATCTGTTTAATCACATTATTCTATCTTAGTGAATTCACAAGAATATAATATAATATTTTATTTTATATCCTTTCATATTGAATGCGATCTTCGTTAAATATTTATAACCTATATAAATTTATCGTAAAAAGTTGCGTATAATTTTAAAATGTTCATATTATCTTCTTTTTCAGCTCTTTTTGTATGGCTCTCGTTAAAAATGGATAGAACAATTATTATATTATTAAATTCTAATACAAGTATAAAATAAGACATAGAAATATAATTATTTCTTGAAATGTTTTATTGTGTAGATGTATTTATGAGCACAATGTTTCTGGATACCCCTATTGGAAATTTAATTAATGAAAACTGTATGAAATATGTATGCCTGAAAAATTTATTTGCGTAACAATAAAGATATGGAATAAAGTGTTAAGTAAATATTTTTCCTTGGTCTATAAAAAAATACAAAATCCTTCCATAAATCGAAAAATGTTAAAAATGTTTAACATACATGATATTTTAAATAATTTGTTTATGCACTATACAAGTTATACAAGTATAGCGTAAGAATAATTAAAACTTAAATTTTGGTTTACACTGTTTTGACATAAGACAGTTTTGCGGTGAATGAAACTACATTTTTCAGTAATGATTCTAACGATTCTCTACAATTAATAACTTGATTGAATCTTAAAATGAAGACCCGGTTAAATAAACTGATATCTATCTGATTTATCTGATTATAGTTCATAATAAATGAAAACAATTGTTTAATTCATATTTTAGTAAACTAGAGACTGGAAGAGTTACAGTATTATATAAAAAAATATGTATGTATATATATAAAAAAAATAGAATTTAACTTGTAAAAATATGATTATCTTTTCGCATATTTTCATAAGTAGCTTAACCATTTTTGTACGATAGACATCCGTCTTCGTTCATTTATCGCATGTACAAATAAATGACAGATGTACTGTCACATATAATACCCAACTATCAAGAGTTGTCAAAAATTTGCGTTGCGAACTTTTAAATCGTTCGTAGGTTCACTGCGACAGGGATTAAGCCGCTGGATGAAAAAAAAAATTCGGAAACATAAATCACACAAAGGAGAAGCCGGAAATATATAGCTATATGTATAAAAATCTCGTGTCTCAGTGTTTGTGACCATACTCCGAACGGCTTGACCGATTTTAATGAAATTTTGTATATAAATTTGGTGGTAGGTTTACGAATAAGTTCTTATTTATTTTTTAAACTCCTAAGTGCTATTGTTTAATACATCGTAGTTTATTTTAATAATTTTTGACCCGGTCGATAACTGTGCAATTGAAAATTAATTATTAAATGATACTATTAAAAAACTATTAAAAACTATTAATTTTATTTTGAATATTAAATGATGGGTATTGCATAAAATGTATTATTTAATTTAATGTTAAACAACAATATCCCGCAACGGGTGCCAAAATAAACAAGAATATTAGTTCGAAGGATAAGTATGCATATCGGTTGATGATTAGATGCGATCAGGACAAAGTTATTCTACGATGTTATGAGCATTGTTTACAATTCATGGTCGAAATGTATGTAAAGATAGAGAGCGAACGATTTCGATATTTGCGATTCAATCAAAAAAATTCTGCGTGCAGAAGATTCTCAAAACAATTGTTAAATATTGGAGATGGAAAAGCTACTACATATGAAACGGGATATATAAAATTACCGACCAATTTCTGCACAATCCTTTATTCGAAAGATGCTCTCATTGACCAGATATTTCCCAATGTACACAGAAAAAATACAAATCATGAGTGGTTGGCAGAACGAGCAATTTTAGCAGCAAAAAATGTGCACCTCAACGAATTGAATCTCAAGGTACAATATTTGTTACCAGGAGACTTGGTGTCATGCAAATCTATAGATACAGTTTGCGATGGTACTGAAGCTGTAAATTATCCAACAGAGTTTTTAAACTCATTGGATTTACCAGGCATGCCACCGCATAATTTAAAATTTAAAGTTTGATCTCCGGTTATTTTGCTTCGTAATTTGACCCACCTCGGTTGTACAACGGCACGCGATGAGTCGTTAAAAAATTAATGAAATATGTTATCGAAGTCATCATTTTAAATGGCAAATTCTGAGGTGATAATATATTACTACCGCGAATCCCTATATATCCACAGATGTGCCAATACAATTTAAACGCCTTCAATTTCCAATTGAATTGGCATTTGCAATGACTATGAATAAGTCTCAAGGCCAAACGTTATCTGTCTATGGCTTATATTTGAGCACATCTTGTTTTCACACGGACAATTATATGTGGCGTACTCTCGAACCATCCAGTTTGTTTGTGTTGGCAAAAGATAAGATAGCAAAATATATTGTACACTCTATTGCATAATGGATAGATATTGTTTTTTACTAATATTGTCATAATTAGTGATATATATAATTTTAAAGGATCAATTTTAATAAATTATTAAAAAAATAAATGTTTGATGTTTTTTCATTTTTATATTCCGTCGCCGTTCACTGTACTCCATACCTCTTAGACTTATATACCACAACCTTATACACTTATATTAAATAAATTATTTTTCTAGCAAAATATTCTATAGAAAAAATTTATATGACAAAACAACGTTTAACGGGTCAGCTAGTATATATATATATATATATATATATATATATATACAAATGTTTCACTCGGAATCTAAAAATAACTATATCAGGAATAGCAAACAACCCGGTGTTTCACATGATTACACAATATATATTATTATAAACCGGTATAAAAAGGTTGCCTCGTGTGTTTCATGTTCAGATAAGTCGAAAGCATTTTTAATAATTATGATATTAAATACTTTTAAAAATGGTGTATAAATATAATTATACAACATATCTATTAGCTGAAAATAACACAAGCACGTATCTTTCTCTCGAGTGTATATATGTAGTGTCGATGATCCTCGAGAATGATATTTTATAAAAACATTTGGTAGGAGTTTTACTTACAAGTAGGGGACCATAAGTAAGCATTCGTATAACAAAAACAAAAACATAACAGGTCGGAAGATTCCACGTTTAGAGAAAAAAAAGAGAAAAGAGGATGCTCAGTAAGGTATAAAAGTGGTGTATTATTTTTGTTTTAAACTCGAACGCTTCGGGTTAGGTTAAACTATATCTTGAACAAAATTTCATGGAAAACGGGCGTCGGGCTTTGTTTAGATATTTTGGTCTTACTATACTATACGCCTTTTTTGAAAATATATCATGTTCTTGCTAAAAAAAAAAAAAAAAACAAACCCTATTGAATTTGTGATTCGTAACAAAAACAAACCAAGCTCGATACGGTTGCTAGAGATTATTAATTTCCGCCAAAAAAAAAAAAGATTTCTTCACGCAATAAAATAATTTATACTCTCTAAACGGATAAAAGATAAATATTTTTATTAATAGACAGTATTTATATCTTTAATATTTTTCAGTTTAATACCCTACGAGGTTTTTAAATTTCATTAAAATTAGGGGTGGACCGATCCTAAAACCGATACTTGGTATCGGACGATATTGGTGGTATCGGAAATATCGGTATCGGTTTATTTTTAAAACCGATATTTGACCGATACTGCAAAAACTATTTGTGATTATAATATCCGGTATCTGTTTTATCGGTTTGTAGTATCGAATTAATTTTAGTATTGGTTCATGGTTTTGCCAAAAAAGTTGATTTCTTTATGAAATATATTAAAGATCAAATTAGTTTTTACTTTTGATTATAATATCGGGTATCGGTAAAAAGTGGTATCGGCAAATGCCTAATTAAAATATGAGTAATACTATACAGTATGATAATACGATGTTTAATTCTACTATACAATTTGTGTAAGGACCATACTCACTAAAAAAATCTAGAAATTCAGTCAAAATATTGACGTAGAGGAGATCATCGGTAAATAAGTAAAATGGAATATGAACGTTTTTATTTCTCTAAATAAAATTGTTTTTTTATTTTTTTCATACATTCATGAACACGATTACAGTTAGAATACATGAAGGAAAGAAAACTAGTGATATATTACAGGTTCAGCGACTTAATACGGTTTTGTGACACTATTTTTATACATTTAAAACCTATGATCGTATTTTGAAAACGACCGCGTGTGTATGAAGTGTAAGTGAAATGTACAGCGTAATCCTATCTGAAATACATTTTATTAACTGTATAAAAATCCTCTTGTTCGATTTACCGATTTACTTATCGAAATACACTTGTGTGTGCATATCGTACTCGTAAATAAACTGATTGAAAAAAAAAATTGTATTAATACTTATTATATTGAATTTTTTGTTAACAGCACCGTACGTCGTTCTCCAAGTTCAATGTCAACAGCTGCTTGGAACCTTCGGCCATATTCCAAACAATTCAGCCCACGCACCGGGCGCTGCAGATTCGACCACGACAGAACTCGATGTTCGCCGGTGGAGGGGCGTTGCCGGGGGCTTGTGGCCCGCCGCTGTCCGGCCACTGCACGCTAATGGCCGGTCGTCCGCGCAAGGCCAAGTCAGCGGCTGACATCAAGTCGCTGGTGCAGCATGAGTGCGGCCCCGCGCGCACCAGTCGATCCATGTTACCGATGACGGTGGGTGCGGCCGCGGTGGCCGCGGTAGCCGATCGTCGGGTGTCGTGTGCCGCGTCGTCTTTCGGCGGCTATGGCGGCGGTGGTGGCTACGGCGGCAGTGGTTACGGTTCGCTGATGGTATCCGCGGTCAAGGAGCGTAGGTCGTGCAGCCTGTTCCCGTCACCGGGCTCCGCGTCCGCCGCCGAGAAACGGTTGTTCTCGTCGTCATCGTCCAATACGCCACCCGCGCCCTGCCTGTGCGACATGCCGTTCGGTGGCCAGTCCGGGTCGTCATCGTGGGCGTCGGCCAAACGCGATTTCCTCCTGACACCGTCCACATCGCTCGGCGGCGGCCCCGGCTTCAGCGGTGGCGCGGCCGGTCGGCGCACGTCCTGTGGGATGGACCATCTGTGTCCCACGTCTATCACGCTCAAGGACCGTCGGCCTTCATTCAACAACGTTATCGCGCAGGTGACGGCCGAGCGGCGTCCTTCGTCCAGCATGCTAAGGATAAGCAACGTCTAGCGCACGGCCGCGGAACACCAAACGCACGTGCAACGGTACAGCGACGATCCCGCGAGTCGCTTGTCTTGTCCGAGCGCGCGTGTACATAGCAAACCATTTTACTATCGATTTCACGTTCACACGTTTATTTGTTTTGATTTTTTGTTTCTCTCGTCAAACAACGCTCTCAAACGCCGTCCGTCCGTCGTACGTACGTGTTCGGTCGCGTCTCGCCGATCGGAAACGTTTCCGGCCTGGTCGGCGATTCGTACCGGAACGCGTATGCGCGTTCTCCGCAGGAAACCGGATAAACAACCTCCTGGTGGTAATCTAGTACGGTTTACCGCGTTCACCGTACGGGTTTTGTTTGAACAAACGTTGAGTTCCAGCCACGACGTACACCCAAACGTGTCCGAACAAGGAGCCGAGACGAGCCATGCGCCGAGAACGTTTGCGCGTCTCGTGTGTATTTCAACGTTCTAGGTCGTCCGCTGACATGGTGGTGGGGTGCACGTGATTACACTCGAAACCCGAACGTTCGAGTCGTCCATCTGCTTTTCGCGTGCGCACCAGTCATCACCGCGACCGATCCGCGATGCGTCCCAATACCGTCCCGATCCATGTCCAGGTCTAGTAGCGGGCATAGACTCTGACACAGGCCGAGACTCTTTTAACGTCAGACGCCGGGGCGTGGGATATGAACCGATGGCCGTTTACTGCGTGATGGTGATACAGCCGTCTTTAAATCTCAACACTCGAGCACGGTAAATGAGTTACGACGTTTGAACATTTTCGATGATGATTTAATACGAGTATTATAAGTATTATAATTTACGATTTAATATATATATATCACACGCTTCGCGGTCGTGTGTCCGATTGACATACGTAATGTTTCATAAGAGGTGGAGTAGGAGGAGGGTTGCTATAAAATTATGAGTGAGTAGCGCATGCGTACGGCACACAATGCGAGTTAAGTGTTTTACATTTGATTTAACTTTTTCGATAACCGAATATTTTAATTTGTATCGTTAAAAATGCCACGAGTGATCAATACCGACATTACAAGGTTATTTTAGACAGATACGTATGTAAACACAATAAGCCGTATACTTTTACTGTCGTCAGGTATTATTATTGAACTTGAAATTACTATGATTATTTAAAAATACAACTTTAACAAAAACAAAACACAAGTTTTAATTTTTATCAGGCATTATTGAGCCTGAAATAAAAATAAATAACATATTAGATACGTTTATACGCCCAATCAAAAATTCTTTACGTTAAATACGACCATACGTATTTTCACATAAAATTAATTTTTATTAGCGAAATGTTATTATTGTTTTCGGAGAGAAAAGTTTTCATTTTGTGTTGTTATAGTATAATTTGGTTTACTGAGTAGCTCCTACATAACATTGTGGCTCATTCAACTCCGTTATTCAAACAATCCAATGGTTTACAACAATTATGAAGTACCAATTTGGTATTTATTATTTGCTAATTTGAATTCATCTAAAGTTTCATGTAAAATCTACATTTTGTGTATTAATTCTCTAATATTTGCCTAATGTTATGTATATTCTATTACACAATAATCAAAAATATTTTATACAAGCATTTTCGAGTAAAAATGTATCGTATATGTACAGCGAATGCTTAAAACCTCAAGGGGAACATAAATCATTCGAATAATCATGTTTTCGAATGAACAATTTGTATTTAGTATTTTGGCGATTTCTAACATAATATATTTGATTTCGAACAATCTAGAGTGTTGCAATTTCATTGTGCATTATTATTTTTTATAATCAACTTTTCATGCCGTTTTCACCTTGAGTAATCGGTTATCTCACGAAACCCGAGATAAATGAGAATTGTTTTCTGTTATCCTCAAAACGACAGTAATTTATGATTTACACGTTGTTAACCGAACGCGCAAGGATCACGTCAAAATTGCAATAAACAACGTTTGGCGGTATATCGAAAAGCGCATGTGGGATAATACCGGCAGTTGTACGTCATTGTTGTTATTTTTTTTTAATTATTTTATCCTATAGCTATGTATATTATAATTTATAGGTTATCCAAGAATTTTACTTCTACCCATTTTCCATAACTCATTATACTTCAAAAAGCATTCAACCAATGCGTATAGTTTCTCTAGTTCCGATGTCAATATAATATTTATATTTAATACTTACGAGAGCCAAATGACTCCTCACTGATACGGCGTTTGGTTTGTTTTACAATACAGAATACGAATATTTTTTTCAGTTCAAGGTAAAAACTCCAAAATGTATCCAATTAATGTATAAGAGGAATATTTACGATTGGGATATGACAAATTTATTAAAAATTGTAGTCAGATAAACCGTTTTTTTTTTTCTCAGTATCAAAATGCATAACTAATTTATTTTGTTATTTTTTTTTTTTTATGTCTTCGTTTTAACCTTATTTTTGGATAACTGATGTATACCATAATAGTAATATCTTAAGAGCGCAAGGCCGAACCTGATACGAGCAGACTAATGTTTTTAAATGTTATTTTTTAATTCGCACGAGGGAATTTATTAAAAAATAAAAAAAAAAAAACATTATATAATTACATTAAAGGAACGATGCACAGTCATGTTTGGTGAAAGGGTGAAAGAAATTAATAAGGAGATTTCAGAAATAAAATTTAACAACTTTGATGTGACAAGTCTACATGTCAGTAAAATCGTAAATTGAGCTCAATTCTGTATGTCATACTCATCTAACTTTTAGTGCCCACAAGGATAATTTTTTGTAACATTAATAAAATAGCTATTTACTGGTACTACACACTGTTTTTGTGTATCACTGGTTGTATTTTTTTTCTACAAATCTAGTTGTAGGATTAGTACGACCGAGATACGTGTTAATAGGTGTTTTTCAATTAAATAGTTAATTTGGTCGATAGGACCGTGTACATTGTTATTAATGACGGACTGTTGATGACCTTAAACTAATCGATTTTCTAGCTAAAAATTTATTTGTATGTAAAAACCAAACTTTAAGGACTGGTTTGATCAGTTTTCTTTTGAAAGTATATTTGACGTTGTTGTGTCAATAGTTCATAACCATTTTTCGTGTACGAGTAATCCACTGTCCGAGAGAACATTTAATCTGCTTATAAGGTATTTTCGATACCGGGTACTTAAAACGAGGCAATATTGTTTTTCTAAAGAAAAATCCATTTAATGATTTTAAACCTCAACTGTTTCATTTCCAATCCATATTTGTAATCAGTTTTGCTGTTCATAAGGGTAAAAATGATTTCATTAAATTTGTATACTTAAATAGTATTTTTTATATTGTGTTCTATGGACTTGCAGAACATTGTTTCCAAACGACCATTTTTAAGAGCATTTTCATTGTTTTTTTTTTTTATTTTTTCATCATCTCGGGTTTAGTTATTATTATTACGATGTATACAACCGTTATGGTGTATGCGAGACATTATTATATATTATAAGCGTGCCGAGGAAAAAACAAATAAATAATAAACGAGTACAATGGTCACTGTGGATAATGATGAGTGCGTGCGTACATTTTCTATCTATTCGTCGTAACTGCAGCGAAGCTCCTTATATAAACGGCACGCGATACAGTCAGAGACCAATTATCGGAAACCGTTCGAACGTTACGGGTGACTTAATGACGCGCGTATGTATACACGTATACATATATATATATATATATGTATAATATATATATATATACGATGGTGAATAGCGAGGAGATATTTACCGCGTCCTTATCCCCTTTTCCTCTGCGTTTCTTTTTAGAAAAATTACCCGCAGAGTCCAAATGCAATACACACACACGCACGCACGTACGCAAGCACACATACACACACAATCGTACACGGTACATAAACATTGACTGAGGTAGTGGTAAAATGGAAGTTCGATAAAGGACAAAGGGAAAACTCAACACACGCGCGCAAGCGTGTACCCACGCACTAACGTATACTTTACGCCGCCCCTCACTCCGTTTTGTTTTATGCTCTCTTAATGGGTTCTTGTCGTCGCGACGTCACCTCTCCATTACCACCACCACCATCACCACCACAACCTTCATAACCTCGTCACGTTTCGGCGTCGTAAGTTTTAACCACTGTGGCCGTGGTCAATGCGTCATAACCACCATCGTCGCACATTCGATAGAAATGGTCTTTGTCCGGTCAGGCAGAATCGTCTAGAACATCCTCTCTCCTTCTACCAATCATACCTTATGCTCGTCTATTTTTATGTTTATTTTGTGAGTTTAGAAATTGTGTGAAAATAAGTGTGTGTCCGTACTTGTGCAGGTGTATCTGTAAGTTTGTGTTTATCGCATACACACACAAAAAAAAATAAAAAATGATGCTGAATAACGCCGGGGCATCGATGATTGTCATCGATTTCTTATTGGAAGCCTCACAACCGCCATAACCACGGTAATGATGTGTTTTCTGTTTTACTGAAAAAAAATCTCAATTTCTTCGATGCCTGCAGCTTCCACTCTTCGGATATCCCGTCCATATGATTTTCCCTGAAGTACTGTAAAAGTTTCACCACCAAATCATCTTTAAGCAATTAGTTAAATCATACTTCTATTGTAAATTATTCGCTTATCGATTATGATGATATTTAGTTATACATATAGAAACGTGTTTGTGTTTATGTGTGAGTGTGTATCTATAAAAATTATAAATAAGCCGAATTTTTTATACACCAAAAATAAAATAAAATTTTAAAATAATTAAAAGTGGATTACAGTTAATTATATTATCTTATATATATATAAATATTAGTTTAGAGAACTTATTTTTTTAACCTCTTGAAAGTAGCTGAATACACTAAAAAATGTGTAGTAATAAAACTATAATTGAAATTATTTTAGTCATATTTTGTCGTTCTAAATTATATTCAAAGTTATCGTATTATATTATTCACGTAGTTATTAAGAGTTAAAAAAAGATTTCAATGTGCATAGGTATAAGTGAGTTTCAAGTTAATGATTTGTTATTTTATCCACTACACTATTATTGCTAAATGTTCATATGTCCTCAATGTTTAAAGTGAATTTGATAAAACTTGTTTTTCTCTTACATAATGCATTGAGTACAAAATTGTTATTCTTACTAAGTTAAAGCTGAATTTATAAATAATCAAATAATTTTCAAACAGAGAAAGATGACCTTTTATTTTGAAATAAAATATCTCGATCATTAGCCCATAAATTAGTTTAATGAAAATAATAATTATAAAACAACTATGAAAAGTATAACTTATTATATATTTTTTTTAAACAAGGATAACTTAAGTTGCCTTTCGAGTTGTACAAAGTTAAATATGAAAATAACTTGAACAAAATTCTAAACATTCAGACAAATAACTAATTCTTATAAGTTAACCAACAATTATAATGATTATCTTAAAAAAAAAAACTTTACTCTGCCAGCAAAAAACACTAAAAGTGCCAAATATGCATATATTATTATATTATTATAAGAATGAAGTCTAAAAATATTAAAACTATATGGTAATATTATTTTATCAAAATTTATCTATTTTTAGTATTTAAATTATTAAAAGAGTAATTAAATATTGTTATTAAAATTAGAATAGATAATATGATTAATTTAATTTTAGCTTTAGTTTTTTTATGAATCATTAATTTATTTAAGTTTTATATTTTTACTGTAGAGTTAGTTTATATTTTAAGGATGAAAAGCGGTTACCGGACCACAGTAAACTTAAGCTCTATTACGAGGATAAAAGAGAAAAAATAATTTTCTATAATATTTTAAATAATTATATATAAGATTTTCTGTATACATATAAATTAGTATTTTATGGTGATTCATTTATAATATATTTAGAAGGATAGTTTAAGACATCGGTTGTAACTACTAACAAATAAATTGATAGTTTTCAATTATCGGTTCCATGATGCCGACAATATTTATCATATTGTACTAATTAGATATATAATATAAGATTTGTTTATTTACTATAAAATAATATTTATAGAATAGTTATGCATTAATGTATATTATTTATAATAAAACTTTCAATAATAAATAAACAATATATTTAATTTTGTGTTTTAAAAGTCGTTATAGAGTGTCCTATAATATAAATATTACTTTTGGCTTTGAAAATAATCTTTAAAAACCTTAGTTTTGAACATTTTTTTGGTTTAAAATAACATGAATATTATATTACGTCTGGTACCTGTTTGTATGATTATTGTTCAAGCTAGAAATTCAACGATAGAAGAAATATGCTTTATATAATAAACAATGATATAAATTAAAGCAAATAAAATTAATTCAAGTACTATACAATTTTGCAATGTAACACATAAAATATTAAATATCAAACTGTGGACGTATAAAGTAAAAAAATACCTATCGTCGTAAAAAGTAAATAATACCATTTACACATACAATGTCATTCAATTGACGATTACAATCGCGGCAGTAATTTTTCGTAAGGTTTGTTATAACAATACATTTTTACGATCATTTTTTCCTCATTCTCCGTAAAAATGATTTAAATAAAAATATTTTGATTTTAAATTAAAATATGATTAATTTATACAGTACGTTATTTAAATACTATAAATATTCTTATATTCAAATTACAATTATTTGGATAGCAAACTTATGTATATTTGCTGCATTGTATCACACATTTACTCACTTTAAATTATTTAAGTAAGTATAGACATGAATATTGTTGCCTACAAATTTTCCATTAACTATAAGTTATCTATATTACATAAATATTACCACTGCCTCCTTAGAATTACCATTTTAGAATATCAGTGAAATAGCATCACGGATTTTGCATGTGTATTGTTTATTATATATACTAGCTTCATTACTTGGATTCACACAACATATTCTTGGTCGGGATATGGGTTTGAATGGATTATTACCTTACACTATTTAAAGCTAAGTTTGGTGTAACTGTTGGTTACTAAACAAAAAAAACGAAAGTTCAAATTAATTGGTATGGTAGTTTTGGTTGTTCGCTGAATTACCATATTTGCTAGTTCCAATATTATTTAAATCCCACTTATTGCGCGTATTGAGTACTGGAGAGACCACCCTGTTAAATTTTAAGTTCATATAGTTTTGAGATATAGCGAAGATCAATAAGTACTCGACATTGTCCGTTAACTCGGGATCACTCCTGAGTGTTCAACTCCTTTTGGGTGTTACTCATCATAGAAGCTATTGATCATACATGAATCATTGGGATGCATGACAATAATACATATTTGTCTTTAAATTGTCCGTTTAAAATTTTACTTCGGTTGTATTGTACATCAAAATTTACATTGAAAGCCTGGTACCATTACAGAATGGTAGTAGATTGATGTTTTATAGATAATAGAATATTTTAATATTGTATCAATATTAGAACATGCGGTGGAAAGTCTAACAAATCTAGTGAATTTAAAAATTCAGTTGGATTGTGTTCTAAGTGTAATACATCTGCACCTCAACATACAGAAAAATTCTTGCAAATTAATTTTTTATAAAAAAGAGAAAAGTGTTATTTTTGGAGGAGAAG